CTAAACATTACAGCAAAATGAATAATTCAGCAACGTGATGCACGGGAGAAAAAAAATAAGCGCCTCAAAGACACAAAGAACAAGACGACGACAGTTGTGATTAGCTCTCCATCTCGTCTTGTTCTCTGTTCCGCTCTTTGAGGCGCTACTTTTTTTCTTCTTGTAGGTAAACATTTAAATAGTACCATACGTTTATTATAATTAAATGGGAATGTATCCAACTCAGTAGTATCCAGCCATGGTGTTCTAATGTGGAGGAAGTGTTCGCCAGGTAATGGCATATCCTGTGGCTTCTGAACGAGTGATCAGGAGAATACCACAGAGTACTATATTGCCGTTACCATTTAAAATGTTTACACCCAGGCTTACAGTGAAATTCGCCTTTCAAAGGGTTTTCACCTTTGTAATTCTGTGTTTACAAATATTGAACATTCAAGCGATGAAGCCAACTCGCTCACCACATAATAAAATTAAAATAAAAAAAAAGAAATCTGTCACCCGTTTAGTTCGTGCTGTGTTCCCCATAAATTTAGAAGTGAGTCAACAGATTCATAACAGTCATACAACACTTACTTTTTTACTTAACAAAACGAATTCCAGCCGACCCTTTTTGTAAAGTTGCCTTGATACCCACAATCACTTTTTGCCACGCGCTTACGAGTCCTGCGATTTTAGCATAAAAGACATTTCCAAAGCTCATAAAGCAAAAAAAAAGAAAAAAAAAGGAGCCGCGGACATAGTCGCAACTTGTTCCCTTTCCTGTCTAGGCCAGAAGTGCTAAATGCAGGGCGACCGTGCAGCCAGGATAACTGAGACAGTGTAACAGAGCGTGGCATATGCGAAAGCAGAGGGACACCAAACATAAATTCCTCATAAATTTCTAAAACGTTTTCGCTGCGAGATAATAAAAAAATTGCCTTATTCTGGTTTGTTTCTGCTTTGTAATAAAACAATTGTGGTTGAGCAGTCTGAGTGATGAGAATGAGGCGTCAATTAAAGGCTACAATTTATCGCGAAGGTTATTTAATAAATGACTGGCTTTACACAAAAAATTTCAGAGGCTTAGTTATAGATTTGGTTAGGAAGTTATTAATGTCACATTTATAGCCAGTCTAATAAAAACCTCACATATCAATGTTTAGAAAAAAAGTTGTATGTTACTGCCGGCTAAACAGGAGCCTCGTTGTATGCGTTGCGTCATGGTGCACGAAGGATTCCCCGGACTTATTACGGAATGCAAAGTTCACAATATCAAATATTTAGCTGAATAATAGTTCACTCGATATAAACTATACAGAATTATTTACTTTATTCAAAAATAATGCTGAAAGCTAATAGGCAGGGATAACGAATTTCAATAAAATGTACGCCACATTGTATTTTAAATAAAAAATAACATGTGCGTATGAATATTTTTGCTCTTCATGCTGTTAAGGGTTTTGCGTTATCTGTTTTTACTCACATATTCAAAACTTTGTTTTATTCTGACTTTTTGAGTACTTTGTGGTGATTGTTTTCTTGATATTTACATGATATCATCAGCAAGATGCCGATCATTTTGAGTCTAAGTTTTGTATGAATGCATTTTTTTTGTTCATTAAGCTTATGTAACGCGGCAACTAGAGCAACAACATATGAAAATAAGAATAAGGAGGAAACGTCGTTAAACATAATCACAAGACACTTGGATATCAGAGCAGTTTTTCTTGAACCTAATGTGGGTATCGATTTGAGAGATGCGGGTGGGTGTAGATTTTCAAGAATTACTCTTCTCCCCACAACACTCTTAAAAAGCCCGTGCGTCTGCTTTCCTGCACAACGTTTGAAGAGCCCATCACCGCAACTTACGGAGGCACCTCAGCGAATGACGATGCCAAAACGTATGGTAAAAAAAAAACAAAAAAACAAAAAAACGAAGTCTGCGTTGTGACATTAAGCAATGCAAGCGTGACGTTTTGCACTGAATAACGTCACAACTCAGGCTGCGTTTTTTGGTCTAAACATACGTTTCGGCATCGTCATTCACTGAGCTGCCTTCATAAGTTTCGGTGATCGGCTCTCCAAGTGTTGTGGAGAAAAGTAGACGTACGGGCGTTTTTATAGAGTGAAGAACAACATGTAATTTCGAACGAAACACTTCCGTTCAAAAATCCTAATAATTTATTGGCGGAGCCGCGAACGACAGAAATCAGGAGATACAAATGCAAAAACACATCCGAGCAATTGGCGTCTGTTCACTTTACACATGATGTAGACATCCCTCCAAGGTATCCTCCCCCAGACTTTGTTAGCGGTGGCCAGATTCATCCTGCCTCTCATTTTTCGGTGATCTATCAGACTTTTCCCCCAAATCAATCCCCAGCGAATAATGAAGCCACGGGGTGCTTCCGAGCGGTGTTCGGACGTAAAAAAACAATATTTGTGTAAATGAGCCAAAACATTGAGCGCAATGAAACTTTTCGCAAAAACGCCTTTAAGAGGTGCATTTATAACGCTCATATTCTGTAAGCATAGATTTCTCAGAACAAATGCAAGAGAAAAGCTCGTATTTACCTATATATGTACGAGGGGAAAACCGAAGAAAAGCGTAGATTGGCGTTGCTACGCACATAAAGCAGCTCATTGTGCAAACACTTGAAAGCATCTCTAAAGTAAAGCAGATCCAGCAGATCCAAGTGTGTTCCCCCTGTTGTATTCCCAACTCCAGCCCGCCGCTCGCGCTTTCGTGAACGAACGAAGAACTAGAGGAGCGGGGACGGCGCAGAGACGGTGGCAGGGACTGTCGGCTTTAGTGTTGTTTTACCGCATGGTTCTGGAAGGCATGTTGATGCATCATGTAGTTTTAACAAAAAATGGGAGCAGCTTAAAATATAAATCGTTTTGATCCGCTCTGCAAGTTTAAGAATAAAAACAAAAAACTTGCTCATTTTCTTCACGCACGTCATCTCCGTCACTGTGCTCCTGCCTTGACCGCTTCGCATGTGTAGTCAAATAAATGAGTTTTTGCACACTTATACATGCATCAGCAAGCAGGCGCATGAGAAATCAGAAAAAAAAAATATATATATCCCCGTCTCTTCCGCTATCTTAGAACTACCGCCCCGCCATCTATAGCTCCAAGTTTTGGAGTTCAGAACAGTATTTTTATTTTCTTGACTATTTGTTGTTGTTTTTTTTTCTTTTAAAAAAACCCACTCACCAAATTGTAAAGTGCATAATCTATGAGACATCTTTGTCTTATAGGGAATTGGAAATTGGCAAGTGCAGAATCTATAAGACATCTTTGTGGAAAGTTTGACTGTACTCTGCTTGTTGGTTCATTTCGAACTTTTTTGCGTCCAAATAGCGCTCGAGGACACGCTGTGTAGTTGTGGCCGTCTCCGCTCCCAGAGGATAGCGGACGAAGGCCCCAGCGCCCTCTAGACGGGTCGCGTGGCCCAAAACATCGTGGAGGCGGTGGCGGCGGTCGGAGGGCTCATGACCTTGGATGACCTGCGGAAACACCTCGAGTCCTCCGAGCCGACGGTCTTGCCAGCCATTTCAACGAGCTACCGAGGCACCACAGTGCACACGACGCCCTTGCCGAGCCAGGGGGCCATTTTGTTGGACGCCCTCAACTTCCTCGAGCTATTCGATCTTGAACGTGCGTTTAACTGGCATGTATACCTACGCAGACAAGAAAGCAAAATAGAAAAAAAAAAGTACTGTTATTATATTTAGAGTTTTGCTCGTCTGACTTAAAGCTCCATGGCACGTAAAGCGAATCAAGATGTGAATTAAAACAAATACGGTATCACTCAACTTCCTCCTTTCCTACTTCGGCCTCTTATTCTCCTTTTACTCTTCCTCCTCCTCCCCTTCCACTTTTTATTAGAGAAATAAAAGTAAGAAAGCAGAGAAGTTAGCCTGGAGGTATTCTTCTGACTGGCTTCGTTTGCTTCGCTCCTTCACCTTCCTTTCATTTCCCCCCTCCTGCTTTTCATGGTCCTTTCTCTTCTCGTTCGTTTTTTATTCTTTCTCGTTCATTCTTTTCATTATTATTCGTTTTGTGTTTCTCGATCGTCCTTGCATGCCGTCACTAAAGGCAATGAGATGGATTTGCCTCTACAGGGAAGTTGAAACAGTTGGGGCTTACACATTGCCAATTCAAACTTTCAGCACCGGTGTCCTTTAGCGTCTTATATTTTCGCTCGTGTCTAACTAATTTTAAAAGCCTTTTCGCAATAAATAAGCGGGGCCAACATTCTAAAATTAGAACAGGATTTGCTTCACGCACAGAGAGACCGATAAGAATTTGCTAATCACAAGAGCAACACCAGAGGTCTTAGTTCGTAAAAGGGGGACGGATGTACAGAGCGGGACACTGTTAGCGCGAACAAGCGATCGACAGTTTTTTTTTTTCTTCTTAGAACCGAAAGGTTGTCATCAAAGATATCATTGTTATGGAAAGAGCTCGTTGAGGGCCCCAACGTAAGGGTGAAATTGTGTGCCCACTAATACTCTTTTCTAATAAAATGCGAAAAGGCGCCGATGTCTTGTTCGCGCTAACAGTGTCGCGACGTGTACGTAAGGATGTTGCAGATTGGCCAAAAACGTTTTCTATACCGCACGTGTCAAAGTTCAAGCCGACTCTTAGTAATAATTAAAAGCACAACCTGTTCGTTTCGCTGCATGTCAACCTCTATGGCTTTATGAGTTATGTACCTTGGCGATAAATACTTATAAAGAGTTCTCCTCGCAAGAAAGAGGCTCATGCCCGTTGCATCATGACGTTATTACGCATATGAAATGTTAATGACCTCAAACAAGAAACCATACAGTTCGCAACTCAAATATTGTCCAGAAGCGAAGTCCAGTTTTCAATTTCCTTATTAAATAACAAACAAAGTTATATTTTGGTAAAATCTATTTTTACTGCTCTGAAAATGAAGCTGTACGTAACGTAATTCGTTCTAGATGTTCTAAGTAGTTTGAAATTGAACGGAGTTTGCAAATTGCAGATAGAATGAAGCATGTATACTCCACCTTGTCAGAAATGGGCAATATTTCAAATACAAGTATTTGAAATACGTATTTCAAATGCTTTGTGTATTTTGCATTTCTATTTAATTACGAATTGGTTAACGTGTTTGACGTGTGTATTTAGATACTAAAACGTGGGTATTTCAAATACAATTGTAATTAAATACAATTTTGTATTTATTCTCACGACTCATTTTGCTCATCCTAAGACGTGTCCAGAGCAGGGAGAACACTACGTCCTGCACCGAATGCAGTGTCTCTCAATCAAGCACAAGCGTTTAGTGACTTTGTGATTACAGTGCATGTCCAGGGCAAGAATAGTGACGAAATAGACGTTCACAGGCAGACTGGCTAAATAAGTGCCTGTGACAAGTTGGATTCTTTCCAGCCTGATTTCCATCCATATTTTTGCCTGGAACATTCTAAATACGCGGGTCGCCCAGATTTTTGTAACTGGTGCGAGTTGCGACAATAACACATTCTCTAGCTAGTGCTGCGCATCTTGGTCGTCTTGGTTCTTTGTTGGTCTATACCAAAATGTAATTGACAAAAAAGCAGCTTGAAGCTCCGTACTTTTTTCGCCTATTACGTCCAAGCTGATTACATTTTTTTTGTGATTATATTTCTATTACTTCCCATACTAACTCCCGAGTGTGTCATGCAAAAGTAAAATGAGATACCCAGAAACCCGTTGCAGGTGCCCTAAAGTCGCTGACGCGAATTGTGAGGAATGTATTTGGAAAAGTATTTGGAGGAGACCAAATACATTTGGTTGTATTTGTATCTTGTACTTAAATGCTTTTTTGGAAATGTAATTAGATTTGTAATTAAATACATTTTTGACGAAGTATTTTGTATTTGTATTTCGATACATATTTGCATGTATTTTGCTCATCCCTGCACCTTGTAAATATGATAATCTAACCGTTCGGCTCTACTAGAAATAGTAGGAGATCGGCACAGAGGGGCAATACATTTATTTCTACCATAGTTTTAAGTGTAAATGAAGGCTGGAACACATGATGCGAAAATAGAGACCCAGAATCGGACGGAAATCGGACCATCGAAAAACCGTTGTATGCCATTTTTGGAAAACGGCCACATGAGGCATCCTCCACCCCCCCCCCCTCCCACATACACATACACACAAACAGAAATCGCAATGCTTTACTATTTCTTCAAGGCTCGGCGCGAGTTTTGCGCGCCAAGCCGTTCGAAAATAGGAGGCTTCGTTCGAAAAACATGTGGCGGTCCGGATCTCGAATCGTTTCCGATTTTCCCAAGAGGGGAGAAGTCTAGCTGCCGTTCGAATTTCGTTCCCGGTTTCCGCAGTGTAGTCGGTCGTTTTTTGCAACATGTGGTCCGGCCTTTACACTCACTATGACTTGCAACCTACCCAAGTGAAATGATAGTAATAAAAATATTACCTTTTTTTTGCCCAGCTACCAAGTCGAATCCAGCAAAATATTATCACCTTGTAATTGAAGCGACGAGATTCGCCTTAGAAGACGGCTTGCCTCACGTTGGCGATCCACAAGTCTCGAAAATAGACCAACTGATACGGAAGGAGCATGGCGACAAGAAGAAAGAACTGCTTGATGTCGAGAGGTAAGGCTGTGGGCATCATGGCACAAATATTGGGTTCGTTTTTTTTTTAATGATCTGTTTCTTCTAACAGCGATTTGAGAAGCTCCCTCTCGAAGCATCTCCGGGCTCGGCTTAAGATGATGCTTAATTCCGGGGATCTGCTCGAGGTTGAACGCCGAGCAACGTTTCACAAGGAGGCTGAGCTACTTCAGAAGTTTGAAGAAGCAAGTGTTTTGCAGAAACGTGAACTCCGCTTCTTCCGAAGGTCCAGCATTATTTTCCTTTCAAGGCGTGCTTATCCAAGTTATGCCACGTTGTGGGACTCAATATGCCACTAGATGGCGTTGATTATCCGCCCACTCTCTCCGAATTTCGTGAAGTGTCACTTTAGTGACGTCACAGCCGTAAAGCGGAAGTACTGCGAATGCTTTGTAGTTATCTACCTGGTGCTGGCTATGGACGTTAGCAAGAGATGTTTTTCTTTCTAAACAAACAACTTGAAGAAGGAACAAAACATACTATGGCGTAATCAACGTCTCATTTCTACCATTTAATAACGCTCCGATTCATCCGCTAGGTTCGTGCCCCGTTGCTCGAGGGACCTGCCCAATGTGAAACAGGGCGACACTACCTTCATGGCCGCTGTGGACCCATGGGGAAACGCATGCTCCTTCATCACCAGCATCGCTGAACCCTTTGGCTGTACCACTGTCTCAGAGTATGGGTTCGGAGTACACGTAAGGCTTGCACTGCCCGTCTATTCAATAGAATGCCTTAAGTTTTTTGGTCTTGTCACTATGGACGGCACATTCGAATGGCCCGTTAACTTAAAGATAGGCAGGCAAAAAACAAAGAAAGAATGGAATATAGAGGTGTCACAAATAAAAGCAAAAAACAAACAACGAATGTGCACACTTATTTCACAATATATTCTTGTATAACATAATCATATTACTATTCGAGTTTCTATAGTCAATGCCAAGCTGAGAGCTATAGAGCACCTCTTTCGAACGGCCTGCTTACAGCACGCGTTCGTTGCTTTTCGTTGTGTTTTGAATGCGCCTGCACACTCGATGCTCCCTACACGCCGAAGCGTTTCTAAAGGTCTCGCGCTGGAGGAGAGACAACTGAAACTTTACCCTGCCGTTTCCATCCTGTCAGTGACTATAGTTTATTGACTCTATCCTGGGGAACAACCCTCTGGTGTAAGGCAGTGAAAGGGCGAGCTCGCGCTTGTACGGGTACGCCTTGAGCGCCGGTTATATCCTTCCCTTTAAAGGCACTTATGGTTTCGAGTTTGTTTCCCAAATAATACTGGAAAAACTATGTAGTTATAGCTTCTGGGGTTTAGACGAAATGGTGTTAGAAGAGCACGCATGCAGTTGTAAGTCACGTCGCTTCAACTCGAGCCCCTAAGAAGAGTGCCACGAAGGCAATCACCCTGGAGCATCTATGGACATGTGTTTTGCTCAATGCGCGACAAGTCTGACGCGAACAGGACTTCAGCAGTTTTTCGCATTTTACTTCTAAAGGTATCAAGCGAGCATCACAAATTACCACCTCGGTATAATGCCCAAGCTGAGTGCTTTGCGCAACTATAGTAATTTGGATGATACTCCTTCCATACGGAAAAGGGGGCGGGAACGACGGTGGCCAGTTTTCGCTAACAGTGTCGCGGATTGTATGCGCGTGTATCCATTCTCTTGAAGCTAAAACTGCATTTTTTTGTGTGTCGACGAGTACAAAGATCACTAAGTGAATCTCTTGTTAGCATTTTAAATTTGTCATCATGTAGTAGCTGTGTGTTTGCGTTGGCTATCATCGTCATTGTTCTTATTTTTTCCAAGCTTCAGGAAGACACAGAATACACGTCGATATTCCCCGCCCAAAGCTCGCATACTTACAAGCCATGTTTTAGATGTGGTGATTCTTGAAAGTGACTCTCGATCTACTTTGGAACTTGTACTTCTAGTCACGTGGCGATGGTTTCAACACAATGCTTGGACACCCCAACTGCGCAGCACCATGCAAGAAGCCTTTTCACAGCTTGATGCCTGTCTTGGTCACAGACAGCTCCTCGGGAAAACTGTTGTCTCTAGTTGGTACAATGGGAGGGAGTGCACAACCGCAAGCAATCCTGCAGGTAACTACTCCGCTTAACAGTGAGCCCAATTCAAGGTACACTGAATTAGTACAATGTCGCTTCACTGGATGTTCGTTTGAGAAGCTGATGAAAATCTGCGAAATCATGTACCAGCTTCGACACAGGTGGTTACACCTCCACAAGGGGAGCGGACGTCATGGCACATTTTGTAGGGATAAAGTTTTAGAAGTCAATATTGTTTTAGAGCGCAGCTCTTAGGCGCCCGTTTCCGGCTTGAGCGGCGTCGCCTTCGCCGTCGACGTTGCCGTCGCCGTCGGCGTTGCCGTCGCCGTCGGCGTCGCCGTCGCCGTCGGCGTAACCGCGCGGTGCATTATGGGTAAAATTTTTCGAAGCGACCCGAGGTCGTCCCGAAGGAACCCGAGGTCCTTCGGGAGGACCTCGGGTTCCTTCGGGAGGACCTCGGGTTCCTTCGGGAGGACCTCGGGAGGACCTCGGGTTCCTTCAGTAGGACCTCGGGAGGACCTCGGGTTCCTTCGGTAGGACCTCAGGAGGACCTCGGGTTTCTTCGGTAGGACCTCGGGAGGACCTCGGGTTCCTTCGGGAGGACCTCGGGAGGACCTCGGGTGCCTTCGGGAGTTGCATGCAACAGGTTGCATGCAACTGGGATACAACGAGTTGTATGCAACCTGTTGCATGCAATCCAGGTTGCATGCAACCTTATGACGTCATCGTCATACGCATCGTCATCGTCATCATCACTGATGACGTCATTGGCATCCGCATCGTCATCGTCATCATTACTGATGACGTCATCAAATCGTCATCGTCAAGGTCTCGGGACCCCCCGAGGTCACGTGACCGCCTGAGGTAACCTTACCCCCTAAGGTCACGTGACTCCTGGAGTCACGTGAACCCCTTGAGGTCACCTGACCCCTGAAGTCACGTGACCCCCTGAGGTCACGTGGTCACGTAATTCTTCTGGGGTCACGTGACCTTCTGAGGTCACGTGACCCCCTCCCCAAAGTCACGTGACCCCCTTGACGTCACCCGACCTCCCATGAGGTCATGTGACCTTAAGGAGTCACCTGTTCCTCAGTATGCTTGCATCCTCCTCCTCAAGAGCTGCGCTCCCACCGGCGTTACAGGGAATTGTAAACGGCTTTCATTTTTTTTTTAAACAAAACTCCGCAGACCGAATTAGGCTCTGACATTTATAATTAGAAACACATTGGTCTCAATCTCATGACCTTGCCACATAAAAGTTTGTAGTGCTATTGCTAACATAAAAAAACACCTTAACTAGAATTTATGCCTCTCTTGTCTGAGTTGCTTAAATTACCGGTGGTTACAGATGTTTTACGAAGACCGTTTAATCTTTAAAATTACTCAACCCCCAGCCGTTACCATCGGGTTTGTTTTGATCACACCATCGCCAACCAGCACCTTCTTTCGTTCGCCAACGTGGACATTGCAATTAACTCTTTTTTCTTGCTTTATATTTTTTATGGATAGTTGCTTTTATAAATTATTGGCGTTATTAAGCTGAATCGTAAAACCGGAACATCGCAGCTCAACGATCAACGGCGTTGGTAAATCTCCGTAGCAGACTCGGACGATCTCCATCCGCCCCTTGCAAATAAAAAAAAATTCACTAAAAAAAAAACAAAAAAAACAGCAAAAACATTTTGGCTTAGAATTACGTATGTTCTAGAAGCAAGCTCGGCTAAAATTTTTTTCTAATGCGCTCTAAGCTATTAGCGCCGCGTTAGCTAACCCCCCGGCCAGGTCTCACCAATTAACACATCAGCTTTGCTCATTTAACCACTGACTGCTTCAGAACAATGCGATGTTCAGAACAGCCGATGCGCTGCGTTTCTTCAACTGTCACTGACTATAGCCCCTTTTCTTTGCAAACGCGATAAAAAAAGTTATGAACAAAGCTCACCTTCGCACCGCTGGTTGAAACGTTGATGAAACACCTAACCGCCGATTCTCCAGGTCAACGCCATAACAACCATAAAGCGCAACATCTGTTTAGATGTTTGTCATACCTTGTAAACTGACTTGCCTCCTCCAAGACGCAGAATCGTAGAGACTAAGGCCCTCGCTTCATCTCCAACTTTGTTGTCTGCGTTGCATTAATGTTTTTTAACACTGGTGACTGATGAAACGCGGCGGGCTTAAAGACGGAGAGACCGGAAGCCGCATTGGACGAATGCAGCGGTTGATGTTTGGGAACCGTAAAAGGGCCTAGAGTTACTCAGACTTCAATTTGTCAGGGCAAGATGAACTTAAAGAAGAGCTCAAGAGGTTCGTAAAACAAATAAGTTAGAGCTGAATTTTAGAGTATTTTTTCGCGTAAATCTGAATATCACGTTCGTTTTTTCCGCAGATGTAACTAAACTGTAGAGAAGGGCCGATAGGCAAGGACCAAGCGAAGGAGGTAACGATAACACGAAGCGCTTCGTTTTCTCCTTCACATTGTCCTAGTTCTTCAGCGCTTCTATCCAGTCATGAACCAACGAGCCCAACAAAGCATTTTGATATAACGAAACGCGAGAAACGACGAAAAATCTCCGACCAGTCGTTACGTCATAAAAGGATCTTTCTTGTCACTGACACCAGTCGTGACGTCTCTTTTTGACCTTTTTGAATATAGAAAAAGTGCGCGTGCATAGCTTTGATAGGCGCTCAAGATGCGCGAGATCGGGGATTCCGTGACAAACTCCTTTTTATGACGTCACGCTCCGGGAAGAAGGGGCTTCATCGGTACTTTGAAAATGATTTTCGCAGACTCCGTGCACCAAATTGAAAAATGATCTCAGTATTCGTGAACCTGGAATAAGCGTTTTACTCATGTACAGAACCGCTTCAGTTTCCCTTCAAATGATCCGGAAAGGACCTCTAGTTGATTCCCCCAGCAAGCATCTAACATTGATTCCACTCTGAGCCTTGGAATCAGTTGGGGATGATAATCAATATGCTGCATTCAATTTATCTGCACCTCCTGGACCGGTACAGAAAAATGTAAGGCAGTGCACTCTCTGTATGTCTATGGAGATACGACCGGGAGTGCATCGCCCTACACGTTTCTGCGCAGGTGCAGGAGGTGAAGGTAAATCGAGCGAAGCTACTGTCAGCCCAAAAGAAACAAACCTTTGCAATCTGTTGTGCACCTCTGCAACTCTGGCTGCACGCCTGCACTCTTTTTCAAAAATGTAAATTATTAAGTAGTTTGTGAAGCGCTATACTTAATGACAACTTAAGAAGACTTAATGAATTTATTATGTTTGCTCTTCTTAGTTCGCAATTCTTCTTCCGGTGTTCGCTAATGCATCAATCTTAGTGGTCGCTACAATAGAACCCTCAAGATTAGCCACGCCCAGAGGTTTTTAAGCTGTCAATGATGATAGTCCCCACGACACAATAACATAGTGATTAGCCGAAAAGGTAGTACGTTACAACGGAAATTGTTCGTCTTTCAGGTTTTATTGAACATGGTCGAGCACGGTCTAAACCCCCAAGAGGCGATTGACAAACCGCGCCTCAGAATAGGATGGGGCCGCAAGCTTCATCCGGAGTGAGTATAATGGCCATCATTTCCTGGCCTCATGGTTTCACATTTTCTGCAGTAATTAATAGACCCATTCCACATTTAAAAATCAAAAAGGTTTCTACGTTATACCAGCAGGAAGATGGCGAAGAAGTAGCAACTTTATGCGTTCTTTTAGGGGTGGTGCAAAGAGTTCCCATTGGAATGCTTTGTCACTTTACACGAGCTTACTGGCATTAGAGGGACTCATGGATACTCGCACGCAACGCCACTGGACTAGAAACTCCTTCGTTGCGGTGTAATTTCAGGGGCATGAGCCAGCGTTTTTGTCTTTCAGTATCTCCTTTGCGAATCTTTATGATGTAACTGGGGGATCGCAGTATCCTCCAGTGACGATATTTGAATGCGGCTCATAGATTGTACTCGAGCATTGCGTGGGCCCTCGATTGGGGCTCGTGATAGTCGATAGCTCGAGAAGCATTTGGGTAGTGACCCGTGTCTACCAGTGTTGCGGAATGGGCACCCCCATTCCATTCCAATTCCATTCCGGGGAATTAGAGTTTTCGATAATTCAATTCCTTTCAATTCCTAGGAATGGAGACACTGGGCCCATTCCCACTCCTGGAATGGCTGAATCGTTCCATTCCATTCCTTTAATTCCTAAACGTAAAAGTTGGCACTTGACAGCTACATTCTGTTGCCGGCATAAGCAGCATAAAGCTGACATTATTAAATAAAGAGACAATTGCAAAAAAAAAAAAAAACTAAATTCCTCAAAAAAGCACTGATTTTTACTAAGCGGACCGCTGGTAGCAGAAAGTGTTTATTTACGATGTACTGCAAACATCGAGAAAGCCCCTCGATACGTCGATGCCTGTTTAAGACATCGGTCTCGCAACCACGTCGCTCGCAACAAACAGAAAACTTAAATCCACTCATTATCTTTTTTTTTTAACTTTTTTTTGCATTTGACTTTTAAGACATACAAGGCCAGCGTGTTTGTTTGATAAGACCATAAAAAATATCCAGTTCGTGCGTGGCGCAGGAATAAGCTATATTACTGTATTCATCAAATACAGCAACACGGCTAGTACACTGCTGGAAGCGACTCCATGCACAGCGGCAGTACACATCCTCTGACAAAATGCAACCTCTGTGGCGCAGCACGAGGGACTGTATAGACCATGTCAGGAAACCTGTTTTAAAACGCACAAGTCCACGCTGACTTTACGAATCTCGATATTTCTTATCATATTCAATTCAGTTTTTTGGCTGGTTCGCCTGCCCTTTTCCACCCTTCGCATACTCATTCTCGTGTTTCCTCTTCAGATGGCGAATAAAGTTCGATGATATACGCCGACTGCACCGTGTATAGTTTCGTTGCACAACTTTCAGCGTGCAGCTTGTGTATTTTCTTCGCGACTAATGTAGAAAAATGTCTTCTACGATGCCATGACTCCATCTGTATTTATCTTGTCTTCTCGTCCGAATTGTGATGTTCCTCTTCGCGCTGATCGAGTGGCGGGTTCAGGCAGCAGACGGTACCAACCGATTCATTCTTCTACCTCGGTGTCGGTTGTTCGCGTAGTGGCGACGGGTCGGGAAGTCAGCGTTGACAAAGCTCTTCACATCAACAATTAACGGGGTAATACCGCACCGTTCGAATTGACATTCCCCGTGTTTCCTCATTAACACCGTCCAACTGACTTCTCACCGCCTCAAATAGGGTCCAGGACAAGGAGCACGAATGCAGACCGGACAGCCGAGACGCGCGGAAGCCAAAACCTCAGTGGCAGCTAGCACCCAGCTTTCCTTCTCAGTTGCCATCACAGCAACGGTCGCACCTCGTCTGGCGCGGGACGGTCTTTCTGCAGGTCTAGTCAGTTCGGTCACACCAAGAGCGGCGACGATAGTCTACTTCACCTTACGATGGACCTCAACAGACAGCACGAAAGCCATCGAAACCAATCCAGTGCTTTCTGAGTGCTCCGTCACCCTGCAGTCCCGCTCACGGTACTGGATTGCCTGGGGTGACTCGTAGCGTCCGCAACGGTCCATCGCAAGGTGAAACAAAGTATGCAGAGACTAAAGTCCAGGGAAACGAGCGGGAATCCGCTAGCTTGCTTGTAACCCCAACCCACTAAAACATAAAATACAAAAAACAAGCATCGGAACAAAGACCAAGTAATAGGCGGACATACAATACAAATGCAATACAAAAAAAAAACACAAAAAAAAACAACAAGCCTCGGAGCACAGCGCAAAAGGAGAAGAGGGAAGTGAATCTCGCTTTGGGTTTTAATGCCGAAGCAAACCCACATTTCGCGCTTCAAAGGAGTGCGCACGATTGAACGTGGAAGGCAGCAGGGTTGGCTGCCTGTTAAACAACGCGCCTCGAACTATAAGAAAACAATACCTGATCATCTTTCGACGCCGCCCAAGTCAACGAGTTATCAGAGCTCTGCGAGTTAAGAGTCGCTTCCGCTCCCAGATCTCAGTCTGTGCGCGTGCGTGCATTCTGCAAACCGTCGCAGTGCGATGAGTTGTGCATGGCGGTTTCTTTCTTTGCCGCTCCCTTTTCTTTTGCTTGGTGCTTGGTTTCTTGTTTCGCTGTCGTGTAACGCCATCGAAGTCCGACGCCTGCGCGTCCGTGAAAGGCGCCACGTTACCCCCCTTTCCCCCATTGCTCTTTGCTTTGACGCTTTTTTTTGTATTGCATTTTGTTGGTGCATAAGTCTGTTAGGGCTCCTCGCGGGCTAGCAGTTTCCCGCTCATTTTATTTCTGAGCAACTGATTCACTGACTGGCTCGGTTTAGCTGACCGTAGACACTAAAAAAAAACAACGAAGAACCGTGCCCATTCCATTCCCATTCCATTCCGGGCAAAAGGCACCTAATTCCATTCCCATTCCATTCCCTTCAACGTTGCCTCAATTCCATTCCCATACCATTCCGGGGTCGTGAAAATGCGGAATGATTCCGGAATCATTCCAACTCCGGAGTGGCAACTCCGCAACACTGGTGTCTACTCGCTGCAATGACGACAATAGCCTAAACATAGCAATGTCTGGACTTCAACGCGTGTCCTGTGCCTTGCTAACCCCAGCGCGTGGCTATGATCAATATTGGCGGCCTATAATCGGCTCCATATCACGTGGCCGCTCATTCTGGCTGCAGGTTGACGGGGTGAACGCTTCTCGTTTTTCTTTAATTTTTTCTGCGATTTCAATTGCGCGTGGTAAAAAACGAACAGGCTTTTGCAGGTCATTAACGTCAGAGATCCATACTAAGCGGTATTTTCGCAAAATACAGAAGTCGTTGCATCGCCCCATTAATGGTCGCATTGCAACTCAGCGCAGAGTTGTTCCTAAAGTCACCGAGATTTTAAGCGTGGTGAGTCCTGAGCAGCTTGTTTTTGCTCCGCCTTCAGCAAGATTGAGACATAATTCGATAGTAACACCGAACAACGAATCACAAATTGAGCAGCGCTCAGTGACTTTATACTATAGCGCGAAGCCTGGAACGCTTCTCCGACTGGTGTGTTTACCATGTCCCCCCCCCCCCCCCCCCCCCTCAAGAAAAAAAAAAAAACAAAAAAAAAAACGGTCTACTGATTTCCGTTTGCTGACGTTATACAAGTGTGAGTCTGTCGCCGGCCGCGACCCTGGCAACGTCGCAGCAGTGGTGGTAGATGTGACAGATGCCTGTTCCGCTGCAGGTCGCTCTCCAGCTGGCAGTCCACGGAAGCTTCGGTTGCCATGGGTTGGGACGCTGTGGAAATACCGCCACTCGCGTTGGCTAGAGCTTTTTGCCGTAACGCCTTCGTCCTACCACCAGGATCGCGACACCTCACAGCGTAACATTTTGGCTGCGTTCCAAATCTTACCCAAATGGATCCCAGCTACTCCAGCGGGTCGTGTCACGTGACAACACAGATTGAAAAAACGCTGGACGCGGGTCGGTTTTAGAAGGCCAAGGTACAAAACCCTAACGCTGGAGTAAGATCGAGTAAATTTTGGAACACGGTCAGAGTGTCTCTACTGAAGGAGAGGGTCCATCTCAGACCATGGGAAGCGTTTGTAATTTAATGGCGGACACCTCCTGCGGAGTTTTGTCGCGAATACCCATGCGCTGCGTTTTCGCATGGCGAGGACGAAAGAAGGCGAAAAGGCTGAGATGCTTGCAGACATTTAACGTTTTTGGCACCTACTCGCAGCTTGTATTGCGATCGCGGCCCAGAAACGACGTGACCCCGATCGAGCAGTTGGAAACTCTGTAATACAGGCTTTTTAAATAACTCTCAGGCTTTAGTGACGTCATTTGTTGGCACTTCGGGACCACTTTTGCTTCATGGCCGGATTGTGATGCTAGATGCACCAGTCAGAGAAAATACAAGGACCTAGGATCGTTGAATAAACAACTGACATTTTTAACCCTCGAGTGTGGGGAAAGAAAGGAACCCTTCAACATGAATCACCAAACACAACTGATATTAATTTTTTGAAACACAACCTTAAATAGGCAGCCAAGTCCAACACCAGAGCAGACAGAAAATACACGAAAGATAACGATGGCGTCACGTGTTCCCAACGAGATTATACGTGTCTCGGACAATTCGTTGAAAGCCAATTCATTGACGGACAATTGGCAGAATGACAATTCGTAGAACAGGGCCATTTGTAAGGCCAAATCGAAGAACAAATAATTTCTCGAAAGTGCATTTTTGCCAAAAAAAAATCAATATATTCGTCAGAAGACTTGCAGTATTCTCGCCCTATTAATAATCGCCTCCAGATCGGTATGTGCTTCGCTCTTCTCCAAGGTAGTGACGCACTGCAACGAGAAGACAGCGAAGGGGTTTACTGTACTTCCCGGTTGCCCATCCTCGAGAGCTGGCACGCGAGCCCGCTGACCCTGGTTGTCCGGTAGAACGACCTCACTTCTCACAGCCCGTCGTTCAGAGCTCACAGTCGAAGTCCGCGTTCAGGTCTGCGGATCGTCCTTTCCACGCCAGTGCTGCGTAGGCTA